AGGGAACGTGAAGTGGGTGAAGGGAGGGCAGGGGTATGGGGAATAAAGAAGAACCAAGACACACCATGTAAAGGTACAAGATCCCAATGATAAGCATAACTGTACTGTTTGCTTTAAATGCACCGATAAACTTAATGGGGAAAAAAAATAGGAAGAAAGAAAATGATAAAGGATGGGCAGAAAGGGACAAAGGGATAGATCTTGTCCAATAGAGAAGTGGTCTAAGGGAACAAGGATGAAAATGAGGAGGAGGGAAGGGGGAATGAGAGGAATAAAGATGCGCTATGTGCAGATCCTAATAACTCCAACCAATGTGTGCTAAGACAGATAATATTAACAAGAGTGTAAAAGGTGATGGGGAACCAGAGGGGAATGGGGAGGGAAGGGGTTACATGTAACCACTCCCCAAGATGACTGTAAACTGTGTGCATTAAATGAAATTTCAATTAACCTCCTGACCTAGACTAGCCGACCTGTTATGCAAGAGACAAATAATTTGCCTTACTTTTTTATTTATTTATTTATTTATTTTTTGGTATGAGGGATTGAACTCAGGACCTTATGCCTGTGAGGCAGGTGTGGTGCCATTGAACTAAATCCCCAGAATAATTTGCCTTATTTGAGTTTCTGTATTTAGTGTCTTTGGTTTTAGGCTTGGTTTTTTGTTGTTGTTGTTGTTGTTGTTTGGTACCAGGGATTGAAATCAGGTCCTTGCACTTGCAAAGCAGGCACCAGAACTACTGAGCAAAATTCCCAGCCCTAGGCTTGGTTTTTTTGGAGTGTTCTGTTTCTAAGAGTTTTTTGGTTTTTGTTTTTTGGGTTTTTTTGTTTTGTTTTGTTTTGTTTTTTTGAGAAAGGGTCTCACTATTTAGTTGAGTCTGACCTGGAACTCACTATGTAGCCCAGGTTGGTCTCGAGCTCACAGTGATCCTCCTGCCTCAGTCTCCTGAGTGCTGGGATTACAGGCATGTGCCACCAAACCCGGCTGTCTGTTTTGTTTTGAGACAAGGTCTCCTTATGTAGCCCAAGCTGGCCTCAAACTCAAAGTAATCCTCCTGCCTCAGCTTCCCAAGTGCTGGGGTTACAGGCATGTACCATGATGCCCAGCAAGGATCTCTTTGTTATAGTAGTTTATCCTTTACCTAAATGCAGGCTTCTCATGGGAGTGTGTTAAATGGTAACTGTGCTTTATAATTATCATCTCTTTTGCTAGGAAGTCAACTCCTAATTTGTTCTCAGCAGCTGGGGAGACTCTTTTAAAAGAGAAGTCAGACAAATGTGAAATAGGAAGAAAAGGGCCAAAGGTGTGGGAGGAGTGGGAAGGGGAGGGGAAGGGTAATAAGGGAAAAGAAAAAAATGTGACATAATGGAAAGAAGGAAATAAAGTGTTTGTAGATGGAGAGGGGAGGAGGGGGTGAAGGGAGGGCAGGGACAAGGGGAAAAATTGAGAACCAAGACCTGTCATGTAGAGGTACAAGATCCCAACAATGAGTGTAACTGTACTGTACACCTAAAATGTACCAATAAACTCAATGAGGAAAAAATAAAAAAAAAGAGAGGTCAGAAAAGATTTAAGAATTAAAAAAAAAAGACCCTGTCTCAAAATAAAAATGAAAGGGAAGTCAGAAAATCCTTGCTCAGTAAAACCAAATTCCTAAAATAGCCTACAAGGTCTTGCCTGATCCACGCCTTCTCCCCAGGCACTCTTACCTCTCTGACTTCACTTTCCTAGTTCTCCCTACTGTGCTCAGTCAAGTCGGTCCTCCTGCCTTGGAGTCTGCGCAGTACAGTCCCTCTGCTTGTCTCAGACATCCACATGGCTCTTTATCTCCTTCAGGGCTTTGCTCAAATACCTTCTCAGGCAAGGCCTTCTCTGATCACCATATCAGAACTGTACTCACTCCTCTGACTCCCTAGCACAGTAGCCCATAGCCTTGCCTCAGTTTCTCTACAGCACATATCAAAATGTCTCTTCTTTTGAGCCAGGGCCTTGCTATGCAGTTCAGACTGACCTTGAACTCACTTTGCAGCCCAGGCTGGCTTCCATCTCCCATCAATCCTCCTGCCCCAGCCTCCCAAGTGCTGGGGTTATATGTGTGTGCCACCATGCCCGGCTTGTATTTTCTTTCTTTACATGTTCATTGATTGAGATGTGCTCTCTGTAAATATAGAGATTTTTGGTTGTTTACTTTCTTTTTCTTTTCTTTTTTTTTTTTTTTTGGTTTTTGAGACAGGGTCTCACTGTAGTTGAGACTGACCTAGAACTCACTATGTAGCCCAGGCTGATCTCAAACTCACAGTGATCCTCCTGCCTCAGCCTCCCGAGTGCTGGGATTACAGGCGTGCGCCACCACGCCCAGCCTCATGATTGTTTACTTTCTTTTAAAAATTACTTTTTTATTTATTTAGCAGTGCTGGGGTTGAACCCAGGGCCTATGCACTGAGCTCCACACCCCCAGCTTTTTCATTTTTTATTTTGACACAGGGTCCTACTAATAGCTAAATTGCTAAATTGCCCGGGCTGGGCTCAAGCTGGCAATCTTCCTGCCTCAACCTCCCAGACTACTGGGATTACAGATGTGTACCACCACATCAGGCTACTGCTGTATTTTAAATTCCTGTAAGAAGTGTTCAATAAATACCCAATGAATAAATCCCTCCCTCAGGGGTAAACTGTGTAATCCCCTCAATGTCTAGCACACTGCCTCGGATGTAGTAAAATATTTGTTAATATTTCATGATTTGTCTGCCTTGCAGTTTACTTCCTTTTCCATTTCCTTTTGTTACATGTACACATGGGCCTAAATCACAGTTCTGAGCGTGTGAGAGTATGACAAAAGGTCAGAAGTCATCCGTGGACACTGCTGAAAATGGCAGTAAGACAAAGTATGCTGTTTAAAATAAATGGGGGAAAAGCTGTGCAGAATTTCACACCTGTAATCCCAGAACTCTATGAAGCTGAGGCAGGAGCATAGCCAGTTTGAGCTCAGCTTGGAAAATTTAGCAAGACTATCTTAGGATATAGCTTAGGGGTACGGTGCCCATGGCTTCAATTTACAATACCACATATGTGAGAGAGAGACAAAGACAGAGGCTTTGAATGTTTTCTGCCTACTCGCTGCCCTTCTCTGGATCTCAGATTCACCCTATGTAAGTAGATTAGTAGATTAGATGATTTTGGAAGCCCAACCCCTTTTCTTTTCTCTCGTACTGGGGATTGAAGCCAGGGTTTTGGCCTTGAGTTATAACCCCAATCCCTAAGTCACTAAATTGCCCAGGCTGGACTCAAATTTGAAATCCTCCTGGCTCAGCCTCCCAGATTTTTATTTTTGATAATCCCAGTACTCTGGAAGGCTGAGGTAGGAGGATTCCAAATCTGAACCAAGGCTGGGCAGTTTAGTAATTCAGCAAGATGCTGTCTCAAAATTAAAAAAATAAAAAAGGATTGGGATTGTGGTTCAACATAAAGGCCCTAAATTCCACTGAACAAAATCCCTGGAACCACTGAACAAAACAATATGAAGCAAATGTTTCAACATTGAATTGCATCCCCAGGCCATATAGTCACTTTTTTTTTTTTTGGTATTGGGGATTAAACTCAGAACCTTGCATTTGTGAGGAAGGCGGCAGAACCACGGAGCTAAATCCCCAGCCCTCTTTTTCTTTTTTCTTTTCTTTTGAGACAGGGTCTGTATATCCCAGGCTGGCCTCGAATTTAAAGCTATTCTCCTGCCTCAGTCTCCCAAATACTGGGATTACAGGTGTGCTCTACCATGCCCCACAATATAGTCATTTGAAAAAAAATAAATTAAAGGTGGCAGCACCACTGAGCTAAATCCCCAGCCCTATTAGTCACTCTTAGCTGGGCTTGGTGGTGCACGCCTGTAATCCAAGCACTCGGGAGGCTGAGGCAGGAGGATCGCTGTGAGTTCGAGACCAGCCTGTGCTACATAGTGAGTTCCAGGTCAGTCTCGACTGCAAAGTGAGACCCTGTCTCCAAAAACAAAACAAAACAAAAACAAAATAAAGCAACTTTTGCAACACATGGGATGCCACTGAAGCTCACATGAGGCAGGCAGATAGTTTTAAAAGTTAGGTTTTCATTGTGAGGCTGAGGCAGGAGGCTCATTATGAATCCAAGGCCAGCCTGGGATACGTAGTGAGTTCCAGGCCAGTATGAATTACACAGCGAGACAGCAAAAAACAAAACACTAGGTTTTCTGTTTTCTATGGGGCTCTTTCTGGAGTCCCATAGTATACTATATTTTCTTTCCTTTCCATGGGTTAGATAAATCAGACCTTTACTGCCCGGACATTTTGGAAAATCCACTCTTTCCTTTGTTTGAACATACTTGGTCTCAGCATTAAAAACAAAACACAACATTTCCGTGTTGTGTCTGTGAATGCCTCAGGTAGCCTGCCTTCTGTCACTTTCCCCCTGGAATTTGTCTTCCAGGAAAAGACAGCACCGTGCAATATGAAGAGTTAAGAATCTCTTTGGATGCGCTAACGTTCTGAGTGTCTCTGTGACGTGAAAAATGCTTCAATTCTGCCTCATCCTTATAAAGAAGTAAAAATCTTGTTCGGAAACCTGCACGTTCTCGCAGCTGCCATCCAGATTTTTTAAAAAGGAAACGATAAAGCAGAGCCAGTCTTTTTATTTTCGCTGAAGAAGAAAAACAAAAAAAAGGAAGCTCGGCTGATTCTGCATTTGGAGGAAAGAGCTCGCCCTGCCCGGCACCCAAAACCCGGCGCCCACATCCTCATGCCAGCCGGCAAAAGTCTCCACTCCAGGAACAGCACCACCAACCCGCTCCCGCGCCGCCGCCAGCTACCAGGAGGCGGGGCTATTTCTTCCTCTCCTTCCAGTTCGTAAGCTCCAGCCAATATCCGAAAGAACTGCAGGGAGGTGACGCTCAGTCAAGACTCCGCCCCCTCCCTAGCTCAGCAAATCGAAGGCGGTGGGGGTGTGGCCTTACCGCTGATCCCGCCTTCGGGCGCTAAGTAATTTAGAGCGGCGTGCCAGGCGGGAATGTAAGATGGCGGAGTAGCAACGCGAAGCGCTTGGTACAAGTGTCTGGGTCGACCGCTCCTTCGGTTCCCGTCTCCACAGCAGCAGTAGTCGCCTAGCGAAGAGCCTAGGGTAGTTGCCCAAGATGCCGAATATCAAAATCTTCAGCGGCAGCTCCCACCAGGATTTATCCCAGAAGATCGCTGATCGCTTAGGCCTGGAGCTGGGCAAGGTGGTGACTAAGAAATTTAGCAACCAGGAGACGTGGTAAGGGCGAAGTTGGGATTCTGAGCGGAGCTCACCTGGCCGGGCGGTTGGGGGCCTGTGGGCTGTGGTCTCCGCGGGAGTTCCGCGGAACTGGAGGGGGAAGGGCAGCTCTGAGGAGAGCGCCCCTTGGGCTCTTTCCGTTATTTTGCGTCTCTCGGGAGGGTCAGGCTTATTCTCACCATGTGGTGGGGTGGAATCAAGATGGAGCATCCGGAGAAGCTGCTCGGCTTGAAGGTGAGGATGGAGACCCGGTGCGGGGATAGCGGCTGCCCATAGCGGTGGGAGGGGACGGATGCTTAGCCTCAGCCCTGCGGACACGTGGCTTTGTCTTTTCGCAGTGGAGCCACTGGGCTGGACTGGATAGCTCCAGCTCTCGGGCTCTTGTGCGTCGTGCATCGGAGCCCTCCTGGACTTTCTAAAAGTCTAAGAGCAGTTTTTTAGTTCGAAATGCTATTGGTCCCGTTTGGTTTTAAGAGAAACTGATATGTATTAAGAGCGCGAAAATACTGCTTGACAACTTCCCTTAGATTGGCAGGCGTTGGCTTTTCACATCATCAGAGTCGTCTACCGAGCAATCGGAGCCATTTTTCCATTAAATCTAGTTGATTGGATAAAGTGATATATTAACTTGGGATCGGCGACACCCAGTTTGAGTCATTCATCCCCGAAATCTTAGGGAACTTGAGCTCTGGAACGAAATCTTTGACTTGCCTCAGTGCAGCTAGTGGTATGGATAACACATCAGAATATTTTTCAGTAACAGCCTACCATCACTGTTGTGTGTGTATATGTTTATGTGTGTGGGTGAGGGTAAGGACAGTTTTGTACCTGAGTATTAAAATGTTTTCCCCATACTGTGGGTTGAACCCAGGGTCTTTTCACATTAAACTACATCCTCAGTCCTTTAAAAATATTTATTTTTCAAGCCCAATGTGGAGGCACACCCCAGCACTGGCAAGGCTGAGGCAGAATAAAACTACATTACAATTTGAATTGTTTTCATTGCCTTGCCAGTAAAACTTCCCCACTTCCACCCTCCACAGGCACCATTAGACCATGTTAGATAAATAACTCGATTACCTACTTCTATCAGTTTCTCTTCCAGCTAAATGAATGCGGGAGCTTCTGGTCCTGATAAGTGCTTTTGTTGTCATTCCAGTCAGAGAATTGCCCATAAGCATAGTCATCTGGTAGGGCTGGTTTTCACCCAATGATCAGCAAAATTAAGATTACTTCAAACTTTGTATTTTAAACATGTTTTGCTTTCTTGCTTCTCTCTCTCTCTCCTATCAGTTTCTCTTCCAGCTAAATGAATGCGGGAGCTTCTGGTCCTGATAAGTGCTTTTGTTGTCATTCCAGTCAGAGAATTGCCCATAAGCATAGTCATCTGGTAGGGCTGGTTTTCACCCAATGATCAGCAAAATTAAGATTACTTCAAACTTTGTATTTTAAACATGTTTTGCTTTCTTGCTTCTCTCTCTCTCTCTCTCTCTCTCTATTTGTTTTTGTTTTTTTCGGGGATCGAACTCGATCCTTGCACTTGCGGGAGGCAGAACCACTGAGCTAAATCTCTGGCTCTTTTTTGTTTTTTTGAGACAGGGTTTCACTATGTAGTTCATACTGCCCTGGAACTCATCATGTGGCCCAGGCTAGTCTCAAACTCAGTGATCCTCCTGCCTCAGCTTCCCCAGTGCTGGGATTACAGGCATGTGCCACCACACCCAGCCTTTTTTTTTATTTTTTTGAGATAGGGTCTCACTATGTAGTTCAGACTGCCCTGGAACTCATTATGTAGCCCAGGCTGGTCTTAACTCACAGTGATCCTCCTGCCTCTCAATCTCCTGAGTGCTGGGATTACAGGCGTGTGCCACCACGCCCGGCTGATTAATTTTATTCTTTTGGGAAGTAACCCAGCAGAGGGATGGCTACGTCAAATGGAACCTCTAGTCCCAGCTCTTTGAGGTATCTCCATATTGATTTCCATAGCAGTTGCACCAGTCTGCACTCCCACCAATGGAGAAGGGTTCCTTTCTCCCCACAACCCCACCAACATGTGTTATTGTGTGAGTTCTTGATAGCAGCCATTCTTTGTGGGGTGAGGTGGCATTGCAGTGTAGTTTTCATCTGCATCTCGGATGACCAGCGATGTTGGACATTTTATCATATATTTATTTGCTGCTTTTACTATGAGAAATGTCTTCATTTCAGATGTCCATTTTTGAAATGGGTCTTTAAATTTGAGGGGAGCCTGATTTTTAAAAGTTCTTTATTCTAGATAGTAGTCCTTTGTCTGAGGAACAGCTAGTAAAATTTTTTTCCTACATTGTAGATTATCTCTTAGCTCTTTTGCTGCTTTCTCTTGAAGTGCAGAAGCTTTTTATGAGATCCCAGTTATTGATTCTTTGTGCTAGTTCCGGTGCTATTGAGGTTTTATTGAAAGTTTTTCTGTGCCAATGTCTTCAAGAGTTCTACCTAACTTATCTTCCCACAAGTTTATTGTTTCTGTTTTAATTTTTAGATCTTTAACCCACTTCAATTTTAATTTAGTGCATGGTGAAAGATGTGGGTGTAGTTTTAATCTTTAGCAGGTTGAAATCCAGTATTTCTAAAACCATTTATGAAAGAGGCTATCTTTCCTCCAGTGAGGATTGTTGGCTCCTTTGTCAAAGATGAGGTAGCTGAGTATGTCTGGAGTTGTTTCTGCATCTTCTAATCTATTCCATCGATCCTCAGGTCTGTTTCTTTGCCAGTACCATTTTTGTTTTGTTTTGTTTTGTTTTGTTTGAGACAGGGTCTCACTATGTAGTTGAGACTGAACTGGAACTCACTATTGTAGCCCATGTTGGTCTCAGCCATCCTCCTGCCTCAGCCTCCTGAATGCTGGGATTATAGGTGTGTGCCACCACACCTGGCTACCATGTTGTTTTTTTATCACAGGGGCTTTGTAGTATAGTTTCAAGTTGGAGACTTGTGATACCCGAGCCATATCTGTCTAGGCCTCTTCTGATTCCAAATGAATTTTTGGATTGTTTTGTCTAGTTTTCTGTAATACACTGTTGGGATTTCAATCAGGACTGCATTAAATCTATATAGCAGTTTTGCCAGTATGGCTATTTTTACTGTACTGGAGCAAGGGATGTCTTTCCATTTTGTTATATCCTCTTCGATCTTATTTTTTCACAGTGCTGTAGTTTTCAGAGTAGAGGTTTTTTGCTTCCTTTGTTAGATTGATACCTACATATTTCATTTTTTGGTTGTTATTGTGAAAGGAATTGTTTCCCTAATTTCTCAGTGAGTCTGTTATTTGAGTACAAGAAAGCTATTGATTTTTGAGTGTTGACCTTGTATCCAGCTACTCTACTGAATCTGTCAATAAAGTCTAGAAGTCTTTTGGCAGAATTTTTTGAGTCTTCTGTGCAGAGTATCATCATCAGCAAATAATGACAGTTTAACTTCTTCCTTTCCTATCTTTCATTTATTTCTCTTATCTAATTGCTGTGGCTGTTTCCAGAACTATATTGAACAGGAGTGGTGAGAGTGGACATCCTTGTCTTGTTCCTGATTTTAGTGTGATGGATTTCAGTTTTTGACCATTTAGTATGATGTTGGCTGTTGGCTTTTCATAGATAGCCTTGATCAGGTTGAGATAAAGACCATCTACTCCAATTTTCTTTAGGGTTTTTGTCATGAGTGGATGTTGGATTTTTGTCAATGCTTTTTCTGCATTTATTGAGATGATCATATGGTTTTTGTCCTTGACTATATAGTGTATTACATTAATTGACTTATGTATGTTGCACCATCCTTGCATCCCTGGGATAAGTCCAACTTGGTCTGGGTGTGTGATCTTCTTGAGGACCCTCTGTATTCTGTTTGTCAGTATCTTGTTGAAGATTTTTGCATCTGTGTTCGTTCATTTGGGAGATTGACCTGTAGTTCAACTTTGGTTGGGTCCTTTCCCTGGTCTTGGAATCAGTTAGGAAGTATTGCTTTCCTTTCAATTTCATTGAAAAGTTTAAAGAGTAGTGGCAATAGTTCCTCTATAAATGTCTTGTAGAATTCAGCAGTGAGGCCATCAGACCTGGGTTTTTCTTTGTTGGTAAGTTTTTAATTACATTTTCATTTTCACTGATTGTAATTGGGGTATGTAGAATTTTTATTTTTTTATTTTGTTTTATATATTTAGGGTTTTTTTTTTGAGGCTGGGTCCCACTATGTAGTTGAGACTGACCTGGAACTCACTATGTAGCCCAGGCTGGTCTTGAACTCACAGTAATCCTCCTGCGTCAGCCTCCCAAGTGCAGGGATTACAGGTGTGCATCACCACGCCTGGTTTAGAGCAATTTAATTTTGAAGCAGGTTCTGCATAAATTGCCCAGGTTGGCCTTGAACCCAGTTCTGCCTCAGCCTTCCAAGGAGCTTGGATTACCACTATGCAGCAATGAGTGTTAAAAATATTTAATGTAGCCAGGCGGAGTGGTGTGTGTCTATAATTCCAGTACTCCCGGGAGGCTGAGACAGGAGTCACAGGTTTGAGCCTCACCTGGACAATTTAAGGATTTAACAAGATCTTGTTTTAAAATTTTTAAAAAGGTGGGGCTGGGAATGTTCATTATGAAGGTCCTGGGTTCAATCCCCAGTATCACAAAAATACATATTCATTGTATCGCAAATGCTTAAGTGCTGGTTTCTAAGCTACACCTTGAATAAACTATTTAATCCTCTCAACAGTGCCCTTTCTATTCTGGTTTTACAAAAGAGGGAACTGAGTTTCAGAGATTAACTCTAGATACGAATCTAGATATTACTATGCTTTTAAATTTATGCTGGTATGCTGGTATGCTGTTCATTTTGTTATTTTGCGTTGACTGAGCGGGGAAACTAATGTTAGGGAACACTCCATCAACCCCGGGGGAAAATACAGGAGTACTGCCTTCTGAATTGCTGAGCTAGGTCTTTCTAGCTAATAGTCTCAGTAGCAAATAGGTTTAGGGCACAGC